GCGAAGTGAGCAACTCAAAGTCTTATTTTTAGTATATCTTAGCATTTAGATTTCTGACATCTGAAGTTGATGCAGTTACCGCACACTGAAAGAACCCCGTGCTTCTGAATCATGCTTGAATTCCAGTTGTTCTCTGGAAACAGAATCACATGAATGCATTGAAGGCTTTTCTCTCTAAGACAGACCACTTAAATTATAAAAACACATGATCAACGTGTAAAAATACAAATATACTATGTTCCAGACTCATAGATTCATTTAAATCCTGTTCTAGAAATCAAGTATTACTTACCCTCCCTCTTCAAGAAATCTTCTATTTTAAATCATAAGAATGTGATGCAAGAAGCTCCCAGCTGCTTAAAGATCCATTCGAAAGAGTACTTCTCATATGCTGGGACATCTGTCTGTCAGAGGCACTCAACAGAGAGCAATACTTCTATTTACCTTTTAGAAATTACCTCCCCTTCTCCTTCAACCCACTCCAAAAGGATTTTTGATACTTCTTACCTCACAGTAATATCAGATAAATCTCAAGTCAACACCACAACATATTGCACTATCTCTTGTAGCCTGTGGCAGTTTCGGATGGGATTGAAGCATTTTGAGATTTCATAAATGAGCCATGAAGACTAAAAATATGCATTCCTTCAGTATATCTTTTAAAAATATCAGTTCTAAGTCAAAATAACTCAATGACAAAAAGGAAAAAAGAATTACTTCAGGAGGAGATTAAAAACTTAGGTACCGAAGTCCCCAAGTTTTTTTGTTTTCTTTTAGTATTGAGCCACTTAAGGTTTTAACAATTTATGAACAGTACACTGTCTGCTTTGGATTATGAGTTACATTTACTATTCAGGTAAAAAGAATAAAATTGCAGCAACTGTTGAAACATACGTGGTTTTTTAATTTAAAAAAAAACCAAACCAAAACACTTTTTAAGATGAAAATGCAAACCCTACATTATCGATTAGAACTTTAATTCCTGAATGCATTAAGACTACAATCTGCCAACTAACTAAAAATTTAAGTACACTCCAAATTGTCATTTCTTTAAAGTAGCAACCTAAGATGAAAGAGAGTTGGGTTTTGGTTTTTGTTTTGAACAAATGATGACCATTAAAGTATGCGATTTTGAGTGACTTGGAGTGTACATTTCTGCTGAGTAACAGCATAAACATTCATAAATAACCTTGATTTGGTAGTAATGCTAGTCACTGTATGCCAGGCAAACTTGTCCAGCCAAAGGCTCTCTGTAAAGTTAATGGAGAAGATAAGATTTCTTTTGGAAGGACAAACTCCCACTTGTATGTTAAATGTAGCTCATTCATTCAAAGCATAAGACATTGATATGAAAATACATGGCCCTGCTCCATCCCTTTCTCCCATTCTCATTACTCCTGTCTGCATTTTCATCCCCTTCATGTGTCAGTCTAAGAGCTTACCAAAGCTTCTCTTAACTCAAGACAACCTAAAACCACTCACCTGTTTGGTCAGGACAGTCATCAACCTTGCAACTGAGCAACAAAACAATACTGTTCCTCTCATTAGTACTCATCTTAAAGGTTTCTTTGCCACTTATTTATATAAAATACTTGTAGTCTTATTTATCCTTGCAAACATTTTTATACTCCTTAGTATGTAAGCAGAAGATTTGCCAACAACAGGAGAGTTCACATCAGCTGCTAAACTGTGCTTTATGTCAGTAAAGTGTGTATGGGATAGTCACGGTAATCCTTTAAAATGGTTAAAATTTCAGAAATCAAAGACAATTGTTACGGGAACATGTGTGCTGCCTAGGTAGTTTACAAAAATCTCTCAAGAGTCCAACAAAGCATTCAGCACAATATTGTCAAAATTGTCTTTGTGGGTTACAGCAATATAAGGTAAAACAACTTCGTATGATTCAATCTGTTAGGGATGTGCTCAGTGATGAGAATAGAACAGCAGAAAGCTGCTTTGCTCCCTGAGAAGATTTGAGAGCCACTACCAGTCTGTCACAGGATAATAAAACCTGAAACATCTGTAGTCTCATGAGATTTTAACAGCTTAAGAGAAATACATTCTCATTTTGCACCCTCTTCTCTGACTCGAGCTTTTGCCTGTCATCAGAACAACTCTCCAGCCTCCCACTCTTCCAAATACAGTCACTTCTCCAAACACGTTGGCAAAAGAGGAACAGGGTACATTAGTTCTGGACCAAAGCAGAGCAAGTTAAAACTTTTACCTAAATAGTTCAAGAGAATTAAGCACTTTTGTGCCATCTTCAGCACATCAGATGAACGACAGTGCAGTCCTTCCATCCATTAAGCAGGGAGCACCACAGTGTGGACAAAAGCTGTTAAAACAGCCCAGGTAAATAACAAAGCAGCATGAGACTGTGCATGTCTGAGTGTCAAGACTACTCAAGTGCTTTCAGAAGGAGACGTAAGCTAGAACAGTCTAGCTTGGGATAGACTGCCTCAGCATCCCTCTGTTTCTGTAGAAACTCTTTTAATTATGGTATTTTAAAATTTCTTTTGCATGAAAGCATTTGTTTCATATTGCCAGAGTGCTCACTAAATCAAAGATAAGTAAATATTAACTCCTACTGCAAAATACCAGCTGCAATTCTGCACTGTGTTACTCAAGGCCTAAAGTACACTTTCAACAAGCACCCTCCTACACAACGTGTAAATCTAAGCTCCTAACACACAGTAAATTAAGCAAAGGAAACAAGTTGTTTTAAATGTTTTTTATTACAGAAAAAGAAAAGGCTTACACTTGACTTAGAAAAGCAGCATTACTTCATGAATCCCAAGTTATTACAGTGAAGTTACTTTAGGAAACCTTTAGAGACTGCAGAAGAAAAATAAAATGCCCTCCCTCAGACAGCACTCTAGATTACTTATGTGACCACAGCAAACGCCTTAATCTCATGTCACTTCTGACACCCACTATATGACTTGTATGCTTTTCTTCTCCCTGTGACTTGCTCAATATAGCTGGGAGACGGATTCAGTGAAAACAGCAGTACATTTCAAGTTTAATTTTCAATAGTTCAGTACCCATCTGATGGATATTAGACTTCAGAAGTAACCAAGACACAGGTTTTACTCCTAACTCTGACTACTAAGTGCTACAGTTTTAACAGATCCCAGTGTGATCTGTTTCTTCCACAGCATTTTCCTTACTCAGCTCCACATCTAACAAGATTTCTCAGCAAGTTAACTGGTTGCTACTGATTATAAACACGAACAAAAAATAACCACCAAAAAAAAAAAAAAGGCTCATAGTTGAAACAGCTCTTGGGAGTGCAGCAGAACTCAAATATTTTTTAATTTTTATTACACTCCATAGAAGGAACAGTAGCGTTCCAGTGACCACTTTAGGTTTTTTTTAAGTCAAAAGCTGCAGGTTTCCAGCTTGAGCCAAAATTAAATATGTAATTGATCTGTCCTGAAATCTTAAAGACAAAACAAAAGAACATATTACTGCCTTAATAGTCCTATATTTTGACTATCAGCACTGAGTTATGCTGAAGTCCAAAGAAATTTACAGGTTTTACAATAAGTGATTTTTAAAATTTTTTTTTAAAATTTTTTTAATAAACAACTCAGGACCTCCACACCATGTTAAAAAAACTTGCTAAACACATTTTTAAGCATCTCATTCTTCATGTCTGTACTAAAACTACACCTCAAAGACTCTGCAAAAAAAATTAAACACCAATAAAAAACAAGAAAACTCAAGTCACTATGTACAATTAGCTATAATGACAAAAATGAGAAAAAAAAAAAAAGGCAATTCATAGAAGGAAAACGGAGAGAACAAAAAATGAGGCAAAAAAGGTATCTGACACACACTACTCAGTATTCTATGAACTCAGTTTTTCTCTCTCCACCCAAAAGGAAAAAGGTTGGATTCAAAACCAGACAGAAGTTTTTCGAAAAAGTTCCTAATCTCTTTACATGTTTTTTATACTGCTTGATAACCAAAATCTTTCAAGTCAGGGATCTACTCTGTATTGCAACATGAAGTCAGCTGTTACCAAGCTACTTAAAGAGAAGAAACAAGTTTCTTTCCTACAGAGAAAAAGAATACAATGTTTTCCCTGGTTACCATTGTATAGCATCACCAAATTTACTCAAATACAGAACCTGTCTATTTAAGCTTACTCATGTTTTTTATTTGAAATTCCTTAATTTAGTGCTAGAGCATAGTAATTTCTTATGTGATCAAGCTGCCTTATGAGAAAGACATTATAATTTGTATTATACAGTAATATAGCCTTAAACAAAACAGGAACAAAAAGAAAAAAACCCAGCAAGGAATAGTTCAAGGAGGAGCAATATAAGTTCTGTGATTCTCTATGATACTGATGCCAAAGGCTACTTTATAGCTTCCCCTTGGAGATTTTAACCCTGGACACAAATTAGTCCTTTTCACAGTCACAGCGTTATATTAAAACTGAATTTTATGATGAAAAAGGTAAGAAAAATGCATTATACTGATCAATCTATTTGAATGTTAATATTATGCTCTAATAACTCCCTCCTTTAGAGTAAGTAACAGTCTCAAACAAAACCAACTACCTCAAAAGATATGTAACAATCTCAATTAAACACTGTGAAACAAATTTACACCATTCAAAAAGGTTGCCATTAGAGAGCTATACAAAATCATCAGAGGGTCTTTATATTTATGTCTTCCTTTATCAGGTTATGCTGCGGATTTAGGAAACTTAAAGACCTGTTGCACTATAAGTCCGTGCAAGCACTCATAGAAAACAACAGGCAATCACGTTCTAGAAAGTTTGTAACAGTTTTCCAATATTTTTAACTGCTAGAGCACTAGTAAACACTTCACTTAGAATATAGTCCCACATCCTATATCAAGTAAACATTCTTGACTGCCAATAATTATATTATTACATGGTAGAACAGTCTCCAATTCATAACAATTTACATTTAATTTGAGAAAATAGATAATCTTCTTGGGTTTTTTTTTTCATAATAATGTGCAACAAGTAGAAGATGTGACTTCTTAGAAAAATCATAACTTGTCTTTAGCTATCAGGCTCTGAAAGACTTCACAGCTCTCTTCATTTTTCTTAGTTTTCAGCCCTAATTTTATGTGAATGAGTGCTTAGCTGGGCTATACTAGCAGCAGTTCATCCCATACAGTAAGGCCCAGTACCACGATCTCACTGTTCTGGAAATGAACAATTCAAAACTCTTCCAAAAATGGTATAGAATTGTACCTGCAGATTTCTTCAGTTTAAGCTGCTCTTTGTTAATCTAATAAGGACAATTAAGAGAACATCCATTTTTTTTTCTGTCAATTTCTGAGAAAATTTGAATACATGCAAGTCAAAACTACCATAATGCAGACAAAACGGTCCTCTTTCATGAAGATCATCAATAAATGAAAACCTTCAATAAATAAATCTATTTGGAAATTCTAGAGAATTCTTCTGCTAAACAAGTTAGTCTTTTTTCTTTTCCATTATGTCTTTCTGTTTAAGCTCTCCATCTGAAAGTTCTGTGTACTTTCCATTCTTTTCCTCCTCTTGTTCCTCCTCACTGCCTTCGTCTGTGAGCTCCCGATCGCCACTTTCCTTTTTAGCTCCCTCATGCTCAAATACCTCTCCATCTGTATCAGCTGTGCAGATTCCATAACACATAATGCTGATGACCCCCAGGGGTAGCCCAAAGAGAAAGCATCCCAGCAGTGGTGAACTCTTGAACACAGACTGTTGAAACAGAAATTTGAAGTAGAAAAGACTTTCAGTGATTAACATAAAGTTACTGCATTACTTCTCTTATCACTCCGCACATTTATTCAAAAATATCCAAAATGAGATTCAGTGGTTTTTCAGGGAGATGGGTAGGGTTTTTTGGGTTTTCTGTTTGCTTGGTTTGGGGTTTGGTTTTTGCATTGCCGTTGCTTTGGAGGCATTTTGGATTTTGTTTTGCTTTCTTCTGCAAAAATGACAAAGAGTCCTCAATTGCAACAATATCTACTATAAGTTTATAAAAAATACTTAAAAATTCAAATATTACAATATTGCATTGGGGTAGTTAACGTTAACAGGCCAACAGCATATCCTATTCATTGTTTGAAGTTTCAGAAACAATTGTTCTAACAGTGTTACAAAAATACTTTCAAGGAACCAGATTCAGCTACTATTTGTGCCTCATTCTCAAAAATCTGAGTAATAAGGGATCTGCAGAAATGTTCTGTTACTAGACAGCTTCCTGTTGAAGACTAGCTAAATGGCATGGGAATAAGTACTTATGGTTACAGAAATTTATGGTTAAAAGTTGCACTTTCACAGAAGTAGAAGCCACTCATATAGAAACGTTTCAATTTAAATTCACAGCACAGGTTTATTTGCTTGTGTAGGACTAGTGAAGAAATGGATTTGTGTACTTCTTCAGCTAACAAAACTCTGTTGAGCATAATTAGCTTACAAGAAAGATGATACAAATATTTGCTTTAAACCTACACAAAGAGTAGTATTTAATCCCTTTATGCCATAACTAATTATAACAAAACTGTAACATTTCTCAGAACATGGAAGTGCTACCAGTTTCAGGAAAGGATGTCAAAAGGTCAAGGAAAAGATTTTGAATTTTCCCTCTTCTATCCTTTAAAATACTTGTCAGACATATAGAAAAGGAGTGAAAAACTAAGAAATCAACTTATGTTGAAAAATTATAAAATACAGTATTAAAATATTTATTCAAGAAGTTAATTTGGCTTAAATCTAATTTACATATACCTATAATATATACCCAATATATATAATATAAACCAGCTTATATAAAAATATTTTTTAACCCTCTGAAAATATTTGTATTGTTATTGACAAGGGTACCATCTAATTTAATGAAAAATAAAACTTACCATTATAGTAGACTTGGTATCATAGATTATTCTCTTGATTCGTTGCAGAAGTCCATCACCACCCTGTGCCTGAAATTTCAAATGCAACCAAGTCAAAACTGCTGACACTTTTCAGTTATGATTCCAAAAGTTCATTCTTCAGACCTTGCAATCTTAAGTCCCTTTAGAAGGAAATGAAAAGTAATTATTCTTACATCTCATGACGCCCAGACACTCCAGTTTGTCAAACTTAGATAACTATTATTCAATAGTCTCACGAAAAAGTCTCTCGCAACAGTTTTAAACAATCAGTGCCAACTTGAATAGTGGGCTGGCACTCACTCTTACCATAGAGAAACACTAACAAAAATTAGCAACTGTCCTGATATAACATCAATAAAACTGCAGAGATCTTCTGAACTTTCTTGCAGCTACTGGATATCCATTTATGGATTTTTGACAGCACGGTTAGAAAAAGCTAAGGACTAAGCAAAAAGAAGATATGAAGGTGCAATAAATAAAACTTGTGTCAAGCCGTGACAGACTTTACCTACACTGCCACCTAATTTAGCAGTGTTCAAAATAACTACACGAATCTAAGGGCAATCTGTTTGTTGAACAGGACTAGTTTTCATGTTGAGTTGCCAGAGAAATAAACCCCATTTTGCAAGTTAACTGATCACCACCTGATCTGACCAAAACCCCTCAAATAGCAAAAAAGTCCAAGAAGATCAAACAGACTCACAAAAGGTTACCTATAGGGTTTACAGAAAATACCAAGAAAGTCAAGGTGAATAATCCAACACTTCCCAAGGAAGGGAAGCGTGAAATGTTAGATTTCTCAGAAATTTCTCTGTGGCTCACAAAGTCTCCTTCCTATTAGCAGTTCACCAGCATACTTTGAAGACTGTCATTCCTCAAAAGCCGTACAATTTCTTGGGCAAAGAACATAGCCAATGTAGTGCCATTTTATGTCTGTAGACACCTCAGACAGCTTAAATGAAGGCACAGCCTATATTTTTGTCTTGTATAGAGATGTGAATTTAGATCGACCTTTAATCATTCTAGCTGGAATACTGCAAACAAAAAACAGAAAGACCTAAGTGACAAAATAGCAGCAAACTGAGGCATCACAAATTAATTTCCTCAAAATTAAAAACCAGCCAGAAATCAATTTCATTTGTTGTTTCAACCAAAAGGATATATTTAAATAGAGTCTAGCATGTTAGTAACATAATTCAATGCACTTAAAAAAGTGAGAACTAAAGAAAAAAGAACTATCAAATAAGTTATAGTAATACCCCTCACAATGCAACTGGAAGCATGGCCAGTGAAGTTATGAACAACAAGTAACTCCACCTACATTATGTTACTACATCAATTTGTCAGATTAAATAAATCAAGGTACCCCATATGACTGAAATGATCTTCAGCATTACTAGCCATTACCACCCAATGACCTAAAACTGCTGATGTAATGGAAAGCAGGCTTCAGCTAGCACAGTAAGCATTCTGCAGCAAGTTGGGGCTTAAACCAACACAGGCGTCTCCTGGGAGGCAGCCAAGTTATTTGTTAGCACTGCTCCCCTTTGTGGGAAAGCCTTCCACCCCCACAAGCACAAACGAAAGCTCTGATCCATGATCTTTTCTCATCCACATAACATAGCCTTCTGTCTAACAAAGTATACCGAGGGAATAAATACTAAGAAATCATCCAAGCCATCAATTCCAGATGGATTTATTAACTTTGTTGTTTTAACAAAAGACAGCTCGATTTTAGAGCAGACATGGGTAAGCTTGTGTCCATTTCTAACATGAAAAGCAAGTATGCCACTGCTTTTTGAATCAGAGCTTATCATTCTTTCACCTATTGGATTTATTGATTTACCATCCAAAAGAAAGAGTATGGTTGAATTACGCACTATAATAAAAATTTTAAACAAATGCATTTAATGCAAACCGGGAGATTAATAATGAGATCTCCATTTACCAGTGCACCAGAACAAGGAACATCAAAAGAAGCCAACCGACATTATGCTATAAACAGAATAAACCTTGTTTTCTACAAGAGGTTTTGCAGTCAGAACAGTGAGCAACAGCACAACTCCAGAATTCACAATCACATACTCACTGCCAGCACAAAATAAGACAGATAGGACAGGAAGATAAAACACATGACAGAGTAACCAAATCTTCTCCCTACTTTAGCATCTAAGGAAATAAACATCAACCAACATATTCCAAGTCACAATGAAGACTTACTTCAGCTGTACCATCCAAGATATTGTTAATAAACTGAACCATGTCTTCTGTGCTCTCAATGTGCCTATCTGGTAGAAAATACTGCTGATTGGAGGTATTCAATACAACAATAGTAGGGATTGTCAAGTCACTGGAAACATAAAACAGACAGTTTATACATTTAAAGAACTCCCATGTAAAATACTGGAATTCAAGTAATCGCTACAATAATTTAAAAGGATATCCATGAATCTTCACTGTCTCGTGTGTTCTTTATAACATTCCTTAAAGGCAAGAGGGAAGGGAGAACAGAATCACCTGAATGGTTATGTTTCTCATTAATATTTTTTTCCTTCACATCTGTGTCAGTGACACTATTGAAGTTTTTTGCAATTTACATACCCATAGTGACTGCAAATCAGGTACCTTACAACTTGCTAGTTAGTAAGAGATCACAGATAGTAGCCCTGTATAAGAAATGTATTAAGTGTTTTAGCACACAAAGGCAGAAGTATAGTTTAAAAATTTAATCCCATACAACCATGGTCTAAGTGATCAGCTCTATTGATCAACCTCTGCCTGTCAAGTCAAAAGAATAAGACACACCAACCAAAGTTTTTCTACATCTCTTTTAGATATGGCAGATGAGCTACAGAGTCTTTAAAGAATTATTACTCAGCAGTTAAACACATGCATAAGCACTGCCTAGGATCACAGAATTGGAAAGAAGAAAAAACAAAAAAGGTTAGAAATTAACTCTGGACACAGCCCAGTTTAATCTCGACACTGCCCAATTTAATCTTCTGTTCAACGTAGTACTAACTTCAAAATTACATCAGGTTTAGGATATTTTAGCACTGCACAAGAATAGTGTACAACAAGAAAGATTTAAAATACATTAATTAAACTTAAAAATCTCCTGTAGTCTTTGTCAATTTTCTACAATTCTGTCAATAATTAATTCAAATACTAGGTGGCTTTCCTTCACAGCAGAAGCAATGCAAACCTTGTTTTTCTATATTTTCACTCTTCTTTAATAGTGTCCCATCCATGTACATTTGTAACCATGTAATACTGATGACAATTTCAGCTTTAACCATGACTATCAATCCATAATAAATTATCTATCAAAATATTGTTTAGCATTTACTCAAGATTGCTATTTTTCTTTGAAGTCATTGAAATTATCCTAAATTTTTTCTCACATTTTAGGTGGTGTTGTCTTTTTTTTTTTTAATTTAAATTAACATGCAAACCTAAAAGTGAAACAGTTTAATACTTAAACATGAAAACTCTCTAAACTTCTAGAAAGCTGAATACTTCAAGACCATGTTCCCAGTACTCAAGTTGAAAGCATGGCGGCACCTCAGAAAATGTACGGGCAACTACAGAAATAACAAAATAATGTCATCCTTTAAATGGAACTTTAAAAGCCCAACCAAACAAAATTTTTTCCACAGAGACAACTTGCAACATAAGATTCTCTAAGTATAATTTTCCCTTGACATTTTTAATCTGTATTTATTAGAAAAACCCAAGAAATAAAAGTTGAAGGCACTCAAGTCAGGTGTTTTTGCAAGTGCCTAGTAACAAGCCAGTAACTTCTGCCAAAATACATCATCCCAGCCAAAAGAGAACAAGTTTTATTACTGGGATGCAGAAAGATTCATCAAAAAAAACTAACCTCAAAACAAAACAAAACAAAATAAAAAACTACCCAGTGTTTCTATTGCATTTAACAGTCTGGTAATTGATGTTCTTGGAGTTTACTGTAGAGCAGCTGAAACACAACCTCCATATACAGATTCTATATGCTATACAGAGATTCATAAAAGCACATTTAATGTGTCTCTTCCAAGAACTGAGGAATTAATACTCTACATACACCTCTATTGATATTCCCAATGAAACCTTAGCTTACTTCGCTTTCACTAAAGTAATATTCTGTTTTCTTCTTTTGTGTGTAGTTTTAATCGTACCTTTTCTAACCCAGCAAAAGCATGTTCATAGACTGGTGAAAAGACAGAAGAACTATAATGTCTCCTCGTGGAGTTATAGCCAAGTTCATAAATTTACTTCTATCAGGGCCTACTAATTCTATCCCTATAAATCACACAATATTTTGTCCTTTGTGAAGAAACAGAATTTGTTCCTATGTCCATCTGGGCACAGTAAAAAACTATTCTGTGATACACTTCTCACTATTCAGGAGGCTTTTTCTATTTCCACTTGCTGCCATCTGGTGACAAACCACAGCACTTGCAATATGGTTTTACTTGAATTATTCACGTATCCACAGGAAGAGCAGTTACTTGTAACACTGAACATAATTTGCTGCTTTCCACTTATGCTTGAAATGTATACATTCTGTTTAGAAAACAATTAAAAGCCAGTGAATACTTGAGCAACAACTTTCCATATACTACAAATTATAAAGTCAGGCCTTTTGTAGATTCAGTTAAACAACCCAGCTGAACAGACCTTGCCACTAGATCACTACCACTCTAAGTGGCAGTTCTGTCTCCATTCCCTTCATTTCCTTCCTCCCAGAGATCTCATCTCCCTCCCCCCTACTTCTCTGCACATCAGTTCTGGTACTCAGCAGAGCAGAAGGAAAGAGGTTTAAGGGTTTTGTTGAATCAGCAAAATAACTTCCCTACGTGGCTAGACAAAAACCATTTTTCTGCCAGATAAACAAGCTGAAACAGCTCAGCAGACAGTCAAATGTAAGAGCCTGCACAGGAGAAGTAATTAATGAAGTGAGGAAGGTCTCACTTTTGGCAACTATAAAGCTCAATCACATTACTTGACTTCAACTGAGAGACAGTTGTTTTTAAATGAATTTTATTCAGGTCTTAATCTACAGACATCCTACAGAAATACAGATCTTATGACTCCTGGGTCTCCATTAAGCTCCTAGAACCTTTAGGGGCACGAACACATGCTTTATTAACGCTTTGATACCCAAGAAAGGGATTTGGAAAACTTACAGAGCTAGCATACAGACCTCCGGTTTTCCCTTCTTTCACTCCGAAGGCCAGAGGAGAACAAACAGTCAATGGTAAATGCCAAGAAACTTAACTCTCTAATTATGCATTTTTTTAGACAAGGATCATAACAAGGGCAACTGTCAAGCATCTTGTTAAACCACTTACATATTTCAAAATCTGCCATGTACATATCAAGAGCAGACAGCATCTTCCATGCATTTTATGCTGCTTCTCTACAGAAGCGTACTTCTGTGCATGTCTTAAAAATGCACACAGAGTAAAAATCCCACAATTCTAACAGTTACTAACTTAACAAAGCAGACCTAAAAGATAAGCTTTGTCAATCAGTATTATCAGTAAGCCGAACTTCTAATATTAAATTATGCAGTTTAATTCAACATAAAACTGCTGCTATGTCTCATGTTGAATTCTCAGGACACTGATTTTTTTTTGAGCCATTAAAGGCACGAATTCTTCATAAGATTATTTTTAATTAAATATATTCAGTAACAAATACAAGAGAAGAAAGACAATTCAAATAAGAATTTACTTACTCCATTAGTAAACTATTAATGTAATCATTTCCATCCATATGGCCAAACTGGAAATCCCTGTAAGAAAAGTGGTGAAAAAAGCAATGATGAAAAAGAAAGCAGAATAGTGGATTACATCAAAAGTTTATCTTTAAGTATTTTTCCTATAACCGAAGACACTCAGCAATGTAATTCAAAAAAGTGATGATCTAGAAGACAGTTCATTTAAGATATCAGAGTGAGTACCATGTGTGCTTACCTGTGAAAGTGATCCCGATAATCTCTAGCGACTTCCTGAATAATGGACTTTAGTCTGGAGGCAAAAAGAAATAACATTGACAATCCAGGATATACTCTTTCAAAATACAAGCAATAAACACTGAGATTTCCCCAGAAAACAGCAAACTGGACCTTATCAGCAATGAAGATTAACAAAAAACACCTGGTTCATCGTGCTTGGTTCCTAAAGGTTTAAAATCCCATACACAGTACTTGAACAGCATTTTCTTAGTCTAATTACATATGCAACCAGAAATAAACAGAGGAAGGTCTTGTTCCTCTCAGTCTCAAACTCCAACCTCTTTTTAAATGTTCCACAAACAACAAATATGTAAGCATCACTACACTAATTTTTAATGCGAGTGAGCTGAAGTACAGTCACTTGTTTAAACTTACTAAGTTCATCTCAAAGTCATCTGAACTCAAGTACTCTCATCTAAAGGTGACACAATAGCTTTCAAAAGCTGTGAGATCATCGCTTGCTCCTGTGAGCTCATTAACAAAGGGCAGAAGAGTGAGTCAGGAACTCCCATCATCTCATTGAACTCATATGTGCTTCAACTGAGCCATAAATTAAGTAAATTCAGGACACTAAGTCAGAAATTAGAGAACACGTGCAAGTTAAACCCACTCATTTAACGTAGTGTTTCTTAATAATTAAGAAACTTCTAAAGTTGTCATACCAGCACATTTTTCCCATAGTGTCACCCATACTCAGTTCTGTACCTGGTATGTTCCACTGAAGAGTTTTTATCATCAATGACTGCAATAGCCACAAGTTTTCCTAAAATAAGGAATAAAATTCTTGAAACCACTTAAAAAGAAACACACATTCTCAGTTGGAAAATATGCCAACGTAGAAGAGCAGATACTCTCCAGGGACAGGAATTAGTTTTTAAGTATAAACCAATCTCAAAGCCAAACAGCCTCTTTGAGCTGACCAAAATGTGGTTTTCTAAAAGCTACTGAAAATAAATGAAGATGTGGCTTAATGCCACACCACTAGCATTCTATGAAAAGCTTATCCTTAGAAAGAAGTTAAAGGGAGGAAACACAGATAAAAATTAATTACCTACTCAGGCTGCATATGTGCATATACCTAAATATGAGACTGTGGAGACCTTTATTACATAACACTAATTACAAGTTGATTCTAAGTCATTGAATCACTATTGTATGGATTTAGTAATGACTACTTTTCACACTATTAAAAATTTGGAGTATTACGGAAAAAAAAAATTTGGAAAATTTACTGTCACAGCCCAGAATTCATTACATCATAAAAACAATTTAGTCCACAGACCTCTCTCAGAGGAGTTTAAAGGCCAACACCAAAATATATCGATTTTTCAGATTTACTTTGTGAAGTTTTTCTGATTAACAGAAAAAAAACCCCCAAACCCAAAGATTCTGACAGTGAATCAGATCAAAGTACGCTTAGAAAACTGGCCAAAGGTTCTCCAGATCAAGCACTTCCTGCTAGGAAAGCAGATCAGCTAACAGTGTAGGCATCAGCCAGATTAACTAAAGCCTACAGAGTGCAGATCTGTTAATTCTCTTCAGATGTCATGATTCACTCAGACCCCCCCCCCAAGACAACCTATTGCTCTGTTCCTACCTATCATCATGCCACAGGGAGCATTCTCCTCAAAAACAGAAAGTCACTTCTTTTTCAAGTAATACTAAAGAGTTTTAAGGGCAAGAACTACGATTCATTCCCAGGCTTTCTTGTGAAACAGCAACAGCTTCTCCCCATCCTACTTCTTTCATACCTCAATTCTCACTTTTCCCCATTTCTTTCCTTACTCTAAGGCACTACCTAGTCAATACACTAGGAGTCAACTACCTTTTAGACTGAAAAAGACAACGTACATAAATTCCAAGTACATCAGTTTCTTTAAAGTAAATGATGGTTTCTCCACTGGATTAATAAAGTCAACATTTTTCTTTTTTGTAATTTGAGGAATTGTTAGACAAAAATGTAACAGGAACAAATATACTACATTTAAAAAACTTGTAACAGCACTTCTGTAAATAACTGTTTAAAATGTAGGTGTAACAATGTTAGCTTTATATGTGAGAACCTAGATGTTTCATAATCTTTAAAACCTGAAAGAACTCAATGCTGACTGAATATAAATATTTTGAAAGGGAATGTAGATGATAAGATACCCTGGCCTGGAAAAAGCAACACTTACAGCATTTTTTATGATATTTCAGAGTATGTATATCTTAAGAACAGTACAGATTATTTGCCTATTCCAGAAGACACTTGGCTGCAAAATTTTTTATTGGCCTGAAAAAAATTTTACTAGAGAAAAGCTGCAGTTTTCTGGGACAAGTCCATTTTAGCACATGCTCCACTCTCTTCATATGTTTTAAAGATATCTAAAACCATTAGATGTAAGACATCTGAACCTGTCCATATGTGATACTTCTAAATTTAGTCATAAAATTCTCTGCAGGTATTCCAAGAGTTCATATACAACTTACACAAAACCTAAGGTGCTCTTAAATTAAAAGTTCTACTAATTTTTCTGATTACCACAGGATTAGACATACAAACTTTTATGTTGTGAGGAAAGGACTAGCGTAGGACAAGGCTGTGGATGAAACCTCTAGTCAACACAACACGTCTCACCAATACCAACAAAAGACTGGTACTATCAGCTTGAACTCTGAGACTGATTAATTTCTGAGATTTAAAAAACCACATTCTTAGTACTCCTTATTTTTCTTACACACAAGATGTCAAAGGGATTGGTGGTAGCAGCATCTCACCTGTATCTCCAAGTTCATACAGCGTAAAGCCATCAACATTAAGGTAGCCTTGAAACCTTTCTCTATTTATCCAGGATGACAAATCACCATCTTCATACTCTAACAAAAAAAATTTAAAAAAAGAATGCTTTTTTTTTCATAAGGTAGGTCGTCATATTTACTACTTCTGTACTATAGAGGCAAACACTATTTTTTCTCCTTTTTTTCTTTTATTCTTCTTAAGTTATCACATGTTTCTGGACATTTCGGTTTTAAAACTTCTAAAGCAATTTTCAATTGTTGAAGAAAAAATGTGTTAGAGAAAAGTGTGAAAAGTTGACCAAACTCAACGATAAACAATACTATATTAACAGTTGTGACACAGTGCAGAAAGGAACAGTTCCAAACTCTGTTTTTAAAGGTGTATGTGTGCTTGTCATCAAGTTTCAAGCTAAGTAAACAGAAATAAAATTACAGAAAGCAGTATTTGTGAGACTTCTTAAATGAAACAAAGAAGTCAAAAAAAGTAGATGCATCAACAGCACTGTGAATGCAGAGGAATAAACAGTCATGTATGACTCAGAAAAAGTTATACTGAAGGCTAGTTTCACATGCTAGATGTTTTAATTCACAAAGAATTCAGTTCTAACACAGACCACCAATTAGATCTTATTCACAAGTAAAAAAGAAAAACATATATAAACATAGTGTTGCATATTATGTGTACAATAAACAAATTCATATAATATAGAGTGATTTATCAATAACTTCAGGTTAACAATTATCTGCCATAAGATAGTAGCAAACAATTCCAAGGATAATGCTTCCCATAAGTCTGCATCAATTTCCTCTACTAAGGGGAAGAAAAAAAAACCACCAAACCAAAATACCAGAAAAGCTGAGAGCATTGAACTGGACTTTGCCAGAACTTTTTCTTATGGTAAGCTCAGTCATAACAGTTGGACATAATAACCTTATTCAGTCTCTTAAACTGCATCTTCATAATTTGTTTGACTTAATGTTTCTGGTACATTCTGAGACAGTAAAATTTTTACGAGGTAAATTAGAAGCCTGTTTCATTATGCGTTACGCATTTGTTTTAAAAGGTATGGAAAAAGTAAGCAGGCAACACAGTAAAAGGCAATTCAGAAGGTTTTCTCTTACAAGTTTTCTTTCTCCAGGATTGCAAAAAACATAAAAAAATTTAAATGCAAATTAAGGAGGCTAGAGAGTGAATTTTTATCTGGAGGCAACAGACTGAAGAGGAAGACAAGCACATCCCTTCTATGAAGTCACAAAGAATATCCTTGATGGCCAATCTAGAGTATTTTGCTGCGGTACTACCTATTTTCAGAAATGAAAACTGCAGATTAATCTTCTGAGTGATACATTTTCAACTTACAGTAAATCTCATTAACTGTTCGAAACTGTAAATTCATCGTATGTGTGATTCCTCTTCAGTAAGTTTTGTTCTATTTTGTGTCTGACGAATTACAACAGTGACAGAAGGAGTAACTTTTATAAGTACATTAATGCCAGCAAATAATAATATTGGAAGCTACATCTTACTTATAACACAAAGCAAATATCATCACTTCTACTTCAGTATTCCTAAAACAAATGCCTTGCATTTTGTGGCATAAGAACTAATTATTTTTTTCTCTTCTCCTTCCTGAAGGAGTTGCTACTTGTTCTAAAACTGGGGAATCTCCCAGAACTCCAATATAAACTTCAAAAAAATCCCACCTCTTCCAGTTTCTCCATATATACTTTAAATATCTTTTCTTAAGGTAATGTCCACTTTTACTTACCATCATAAACAAAGTAAGTTCCATCTTTGAAGACCATAACAGCAGGTAATTCAGGTAATGTCACATACTGAAAGAGTTGGTTTTCAATTAATCCATGAAAGATTAAAAGATGTTTAAACAGACAAACTAAAAAATCTGAAAATATGGAAATGCAGTCCTTGGGAAAATCTCTAAGTACATTTAAATATTTTCTGTCTAAATTTACTAAAATAAATTTATCAGCTTCTGCATATTAAAAGTAACACAACATCAATGTAGTTTTGAGAGGTAGATCTCACAAAGCGTAAATGAAACAGGATTTTTTACTAGTATCTCCAGCAGCATGAAGAACATTTTATGAGTTGCACATGAACTTTAGATAGGAGATTGTAAACTTGAGGGTTTTATCAATTATGGCCCCTGTTCCCAATCTGTGCTGTTGTCAGCATACCTGTCATACTGCTATTTCTTCTAAATGTACAGTAAAATAGTAATACTGATAACATGTCCCACTAAATCTGGGCTATTTCTTGTGGTTCAGACTGATGGGAATATAAAGAAATGGCTTCAGAAGACAAGGCTGCATACAGACCTAATTTAGGCAAAAGGAACAATGAAAGCCTCCATTACTATGTTAAACATGATATTTAGGATGGTCAGCAACATACTAAAAAAAGAGGTGTAGAAACCTTTCTCTTGGAACTTAAAGAATCTCATTCAGCTCACATTTTCAGTAAACTGCCATAGAAGATATACTGCATCTACTCCTGACTGCTTGCTACCATTCAAAGTCAAAATTCTAATGGCACTTGTGCTTAAAAAAGGACTATATCATGAACATACTTTTAATTATGTTGGCTGAATTGTCTACTGATATGTTTGGGAAAGGTAAGAACTGCATCATTTCCAAACAGCATGCCTTCTGTAATCATTCTGCATTATCTGTCTTGGAAATAAATGTAAAAGCAGTAGGTTTACAATGTAACAGCTGATACAAATGAACAATAAGAAAATTCTAAGTGATGCTTTTGTTCTCTTATTTTAAACATAGTTTTACATCTTTAAAGGACAAATTAATCTGTGTACAGATTACGGCTCGCAAAAGACACCTGAAGCTTGGAACAATATTACCTAAGGTGACAAAACAAAGCCTAACAGTGAACAGCGTTATGGAAAGGCTCATTACAACTCTAGCACTCAGTAATTTCATAACATTTTTGCTTCTCTCCATAGAATATTACTACTTCAGCTTAATGACAATGGGGAAATTACCTTCTGCGAAAAAAAAAGTTCACTGCTTACATCAGTGAGATCACAGAACCTCAAAGACTTTGAGCCTTTTACACTCTTTCCACTGCACAACTGAACAGTACTTTTCTTGCTCAGGTGGGGCTGAAGTACAAATAGCAATATTCAAATCAAGGTGGCCTTTGATACAAGGTTTCTGGAAATCTAACTATCCACTATTTAAAATAAGTATGTTCTACTTATGATGTTGGAAAATGCAGCTACCTAAAAAAAAAAAGCCAACAAATTATGCTAGCTCTCACCCTGATAATCCCAAACTAATTTCCAAGTCACATTTTATCAGGCATGGAGTAGACTTAGGTCCCACTTGGAGATACCAATAAATGAAACAGCCTCTTGATTTTGCTTCAACAGGTAAGCAACAATGATTAGACTAACAACAGTAATACCAATTTTTTCCACCCTTGTGACTAACTGTCAATATTCTCCTTGTTACAGACTCCTCCAAAGAGCCACATGAGAATTCTGCAGCCAGTAGACTGGATCCATTGATCCCCGGGCAGACTAATGTTTTGATCAACTGTATTGTACAAGACAAAAATAACTTACCTCTTCACTTACTTCTCTGATTACTAAGGTATCAGAAGTACTCCATGGCAAAGACCCCCAAATTAGTTTTAAAAGTGGTTGGTGAAAGGACTGTCTGAAGTAACAAGAGTTGTACATTGGCTAAAAGTCCAAGTATCTACTTTCTTGAGTAGGTTGAATGGTCCAAATTGAGTTCCACATATTTTTATTAATGTGACTGAACAATTAATTTGGCCAAAACAAAGCAGTGACGGACTTGAAACTTGGTTTGTATTCTTTCCTCATATAGACTCGAAAATTATACATTTCAGTGTAATTACTTTGGAATCTATCAAAGCCAAATATACTGTAAGAAGCCATCTCTGTGCCACTGAAACAGTAAAATTACATATATGAGAACAACACTACTTCTGTGAAAATAGTAGGCATGGAAACAGCTTACCTCAGGCACTACATCTTCTGAGGCAGAAAAAAAGTACGTATAAACTATTAGTTCTGAAGCAACTTCAATGTATTTTTCCTGAAAAAATACAAACAATGTTTTTTAATTTCTGAACTTTTAGTATGGGTCAAATAAAAGTTTTGTGACATACCTCATAGAAAATATGGGTTATGATACAAGATTGAAAAAAACACTTAAATAAATGTAGAAAGACCACGTGAATTTGTTACAAGCATACACTACAGTCTTTTAAAAGATATTTTAAATTACTCTGTAAATACCCAAAAGAAGTAACTTTACTTAAAGCTTCAAACCTTTAAAGGAGATTCACCACCAACATACACAAAAAGTACACGATGTCTCTTTTGCACATGCTCAAACATATGCTGGCTAGGAAGTGGCCTGATAAGAGGTCTGGGAGGGAAATAAAAACAAGAAAGAAAAACCTTAGTTTTTGCAACCTGCAAAACCCAAACAAATAAAAATCCACAAGAAAATATCATACATTTTTTGTGGGTTTTTTTTAAATTAAATTACACAATGCACATTAATTCAATTTTTCAATTTATTATTTTATTTTCAACTAAAAGGGAAAAGAAAAAAAGAAAAATTCCTCCTAAAATAACGTGTTATGTTCCTCAAATAGCACACTTAAATTTAAAACTCATATCTTAGTACAAAATGTTGCTACAATGGAAACATGCATGCCATTTACTGGTCACAGAATCAGAGATTGAGCTGGACTGGAAGATCATCTGGTCCCATCCTCCCACCATGGGCAGGGACACCTTCCACTAGACCAGGTTGCTCAAAGCCCCACCCAGCCTGGCCTTGAACACTTCCCAGGATGGGGCATCCTTACAGTAAAGAACTACATCTTACCACCCTTACAGTAAAGAATTTCTTCCTGATATTTAATCTAAATCTATCCCCTTTCTGTTTAAAACCATTGCCCCTTATCCTGTCAGTACAGACTCTGATAAAAAGTCTCTCTTCTTCTTTCTTATAAGACCTCTTAGCGAAAGGCCACAATAAGGTCTCAGTCATTTGAGATAAAATTCTGAATTTAAGCACGGTAGTTATGAAATGTGGTCTTAAATCTTAAAAAATTCTGATCCCTCAATATTCCTAAACTACAGACTTCCAAAGAATAATGAATATTATTGTTCCTATATCAAAGCTTCTTAATTATTTTTTAGAATGGAGGAAAGAAATGTGACTTTTTTTCTCCCCAAAGTTTACTTGTCAATAATATTTTGAGGCCACAGGCCACTGTAGGGAAGAAAGAGCTAGCCAATAGAAATTATTATGAACAATTCTGCCAAAGCATTTCGTTATGGTGCCTATGGTATACTTTTCAGAAGCACAACTTCGGAGCATGAAACATCTTCTGCCTTAGTAATGATGCCTGTCAGCCAACATTTAGATTGGCATTCTTGTTTCTGACTTCCCTGAGCTTCACTTGTTCACAGTTTCCAGTACTCTGAAAAGCCCTTAGTTCTTGCACTGTAAAGAAGGTATTGTGGCTAGCCAGTCTCTCTGTACTCTCTCCATGCCACTCACCACCAGCCTCACATGCAGTGACACATATAGTGATAGGCATCAATAGCACATATAGTTTTTAACTTTGTGTCAGTATCTTGCTCTTTTTTAAACAGATTTAATTCTTGGCTCACTTCAAAATCCTAAGTAAGTTTTAAGTCACCAGAACCAGTTTCACAGAAGAGTATACTTACCCTGCCACTCTATTAGCAAATTCAACTATATCATCTTTGGTTCTAGGTCCTCTATAGTTGTATGCCAAGTCACCTTTTAAGCTAGATAAATGAGAAAGACAAAAAAAAGAACAGAACTGAAATGACCTAAACTACATTCGTACATGCAGAATTACTCAATCTTCACAGGTTTATTACAGTCACCTTTTAGTGAGTGAGAAGCAAAAGAAGTAGTCAGCAAAATATAAAACCCAATAATGCAATACAGTGCAATTATGCAGTAAAAAATTATTTACACAGTATCTGATTTATTGACTTTTTGAAATAATTAGCATTCTTTTACATTTATTTTTCTAGTGTACAGAACTCATTTACTCTGTAAGCACACAGATAACTTAGAACATTTGCTTAAGACTGTATAAAAAAATCCCACCCCACACCCAAATCAAACCCCAAACACTCAACATTTATACTACTGAGGTATTAGTCTTTATAAAAGACAAACATATAAACTTCTTCTTTTTTTTTTTTTTTATAATTGAAAGGTATCAAATAACCTGCAAAACCTTCCGAATATATGTATTAAATTAAGCTTACAGGAAGTGTTGGTGAGCTTATGGTACTCTGTTGACAGGGGATGTAGAACACTTGCATTATTAGAGTATTTCAGTAAGTTTCACTAATTCTAAGAGGCTTTCTTTAAATCCATATAGGTTTAGAAAACTCACAGGAAAGAAGTAATGATAAAGTGAGTTTTCAATGTCTCTATATGCCAATAAAATTTTTCATCCTTAAAGATTAATAAGCTAAATATCTCTTGTTGTCTTCTTGTCACTTTGACAAGATTCATTATTACGTATTATAAGTATTATTTGCTTAAATATAACCTGCTAAAACCCCCAGTCTGTTCACAGTAAAAAGGACCCAAAATTACTGTGTCTTAATATTTAATATGACCCTGTACTGGACTATAAACTACATGTGTTATAAGCAAGTACATAAAATATCATTACGGATTGATATTTTCCTATAATTTTTGTCCTCCACTGTCTTTTTTAAATCAGGTGAAAAAAAAAAAAATCTACATATACTTCTCTTGTTAAACAACTTTTCTCATCCTTCACCCTACACAGTAACTACTACTGTCATTTACATAAGGTTTTTAAGGTACACGGGAGAGAAGAGAGAGGTAATTGAAAATAAGAAAATGCAATCAGCAGCTTACAAGAAGTTAGCGGGAAGACTCAGCTATGCACTTACTGCCTGAATCACCCTAGAGATGTCAAATCAAATGGAGGAAGGAATTCCTTTTTATAACAGTTGTGTGTATATATATTTGAAAGACATATTTATGTACACACACTTCTACATAACCGCATCGAAAACAGCAGTTAAATGAAGTGCAATTTGTTAACCTGTCTATTAAGAATTCTGTTTCTAAATAAGATGATGGATATGACTGAATTTCACAGCAAAACAGTCCAGTAGAAATCAAAGACAATGCTACCATGAGATGGTGAAGTGGTTTTTTGGCGTTTTTCTTGGTTTGAGTTTTACAGGTTTTTTGTGATTGGTTTGAGATTTTTAAATGAACAGGGCTATGTTTTCTTTAGTGTCATCAAATCAGTGTTAGAAATTCAATAGGAAGCATCAACTTACAGCTTAATTGTTGGATAGCCTCGTACACCAAATTCAGATGCAATACCTGAAAGAAATGTGTTAATGCCAAAGTGAACCAAGACTTTCTTGCTCTCCTACCTTAATCTTTAAACATAGTTTACTATTCAAGCCACAATAACAAATGAAAGAACTCCCACTTAGTTTAATATGAATTATTTTACTTGCTTATTAAGCTACTAAATTTTGGGCCTCTTAAAGAAGTGCTGAAGAGTCCCAGTATAGGCTCTCAATTCATGTGCCACAAACTCAAATGCCATGAGAATCCTCTAAATAGACATGGCTTGACCTGTTCTAACCAAAAGGTAGCATGCATTTTAAAATATATACACAATTGACTGAAAATACTAGAGGCAAGAATTAAGCATCAAGGATGTACAATAGTAAATAGTAATGCTTGAAAGAAATACAAAACATAAGACATATAGTCATATGCTACAGTAATGCCTAACAACAGAAGTGCAGTATCATACTGCAGTAGTTACAAAAAAGGTTTTACATCTGCATTCTGCAGACATAAATGAACCTCACCAGGTACAGACACTTTCTAAGCAATCAGTTATTTACCTGCTGCTTACTAAAGTGGTGAAAAGCAAAATGACTGCAGAACTTTTTCCCCCGCCTCAGGTTTGTTTAAAACCTTGTATCTTGCTACCATCTATTATACAATTTGCAACTACCTTTCCACTTGTGAACATAGCAACTACCACCTTAAACTACACTTTTCAGTCAATTCAGTGTTTTCCAAAAGTTAAACTAAGTAGTCTTCAAAAAAGGCTAAAATTAGGTATAAAATTCTGACAACAGTTGTGCAATTCCCTATTGAGTAACAATTCCTGCACTCAAAAAGCACGAAGAGTCAATACCTATAACAAACATTCTGAAGCTACCAACCATATGTCAGAGCAAGCAGATGTGGGAGGACTTGTGTGCAGGGCTCTCAGTAACAGTTTAAGAACTGTGATTCCTACTGATTCAGTACCTTATTGCACAGCACTACAAATAAAACTAGCAGCTCACCTACAGCCATCTTAGTCAAAGATGACTGTTCTAAGAAATACAGGTACTAGGATCAATTTTATTCTGATCCTTTCCTCTCACAGTTCTACTACATAGACTTAAAACGCATTAAAATGTATATTAGAACATTCAATCACAAGAGCTGACAACAGAGTTTATTTCTCCTTCTACAGTTCTCATGCATGGACAGGAGAACTAGAAAACAGCCAATTTTTAATACATTATTTTTAAACCTCCCAGCCTTGGAGATTAACAAAATTCTCTCAGCATCCTGGAAGTGGCATACTATTTACACCATCACCTCCACTTCTTGATATAAAGAACGCAGTACAGGCAAACAGCAGCAGTTGTGCCAGCCTGAGGCATGATGTGTTTCTACTGTGATCACATTCAGCTGACTTTGAGGCAAACCCCCCCGAAAATTCAACTGATAACACAACAGGTGACCTCTCTTGATAAAAGTCCTGTGTCCTCATAACGCAGAGCCACCTGAGGCAACACTTACTGGATGATTTATATGTTCATCTGTGATTTCAGCTCTCTGACAACATAGTTCAGATTTTTCACACTACTTCCTATTCCAACTAGGAACACAAACTATGCAGAGCCAACCATTCATGTTCCTTCCTGGTTACATGTCCACAAGTTCCAGCTGCATTTCCTTCTGATATTCTCAAGACTGAATTACTTTGATTTCACAGAATCTTTAGATTGGAAAGACACCAAGCAGAACTGACTTGAGCTTTTCATAACCAGATGTTATAAAATTTCCACTTTCAAAATAAAAGTGCAAAACTATTTCAAGAGATTTATTGGACACTCTATTTTATAAAATTGGTAACAAATCTGAGTAGAAAGACTTTTCCAGGGCACAAAGGAACCCTTGCAGCTTTCAGTAATTTTTGTATGTGCAAAACTGAATTATAGAACTAAAACAATGTGCCAATTCTGTTTTAGGTATAAAATATGAGAATTTAGCATCAGGATGACAGATGCAAATATTTCAGGGTAAGAGTTCATACAATTTATATGATTTAGAATTTCATATATATGACTGGAAAGCTAGAGATCCATGAAATGAACTTGAAATTTCTAACGCTCCAGACTTACTATAGCAAGTAAGTATCTTTAAGATGAAACAAAATTTCTGTGGTTTTACAGAAAAAGCTACATACAATAAATTGGTGCTTGAGACAAAATCATTTTGATCTCAAAAGACTAAACTCTGCTACAGGTAAGCACAGAAAAACTGGAATATCACTCAAAAAAGTATTCTGCATATTTTAGGCAAATACAACAAAGCTGAATAACCAGATCTAATGGGGATTAATTAAAAATGTCACATGTATTTACAAAATTTTATTCCATATAGATCTCCATTGGGCCCCACTCCTCCCTATGCCTTCCCTCTTAAATATCCTCCTGGTTCAACACAGATTCAAGTGAAATGACAATAAACAAGCATATGAAAACAAAGAAAATACTGTTAAGCATTCAACAATCCTCTCACATCTACCCGAACCACTTCTCTGAATACCTCAAGTTTTGGGTTTTCTCTGAGAAGGTCAATACATAGGAAAAGCAAAAAAGAAAGCCTTAGAGCTAAATTTGGTTCTTCAAGAAGACATTTACGGAGAAAGATGGGAAGAAATTGGCTCAAGAGTAAATTCAAAGATTTCAGCAGGCTTTCTGTAACAGCTTAAGGACCGATTACCTGAAAAGAATAACAGTGAGAACACAAAGCACTTCTCCAACAGTAATACAAGGAACCTAAAACTGGATGCTGTCAAGAGACACAGCACATAAAATGCTTATATAAGTTCTCTAAGAGGCGTATCAGAACCAGATCTTTGAAAAGCTTTCACCTTCCATTTGTCAGGAAGAATTCCCTACACAAGCAGAAACAAATGTGATAAAAACTGCATACTACAGCAAGTTGTCACTTTTAGAAAGAAAAAGATCGGGAAACTGTTCTCCAATGACTGTTTACATACTTGTGCTATGATACAGAACAGAAGAATAACTTAATGAAAAAAACTAACAGTCTCAAAACAGAGTCTGCAATGAAATTACCCCTAACCAAACCATACTTACTAGAAAAGGAAGTTGCATCCATCTTCCCAACTTTTACTGGAGAGCCCATGTTTCTCATTTCTATGCCCACTTCATTCCACACAGGCTCTAGTTTCTTGCAGTGGCCACACCAAGGTGCATAAAACTGAGAAGTAAAAATATTTTATTAAAAAAAAAATAAGTTAGTAGAAGTTGATTCTACAATTAACCCTCAAATCATTAACAAGGCTTATTTTCCAGTCATGGTTCTCCTTATGTCTTAATAAAACTGCAAGTTAATTACAAGGCTAGCATGACATGCAGCATTTATGATTTGGTCCTACTTTTAATATGAAAGCACAAGTTTGAAAAGAATACATTAAATTGTTGCACCATTACATGATTTCTTATTTAAAAATAGACAGTGCGGTAACATTTTTAAAAATCTTTTGAAATATTTTCCGCTTTTTTTTGAAAGATAAAAGATCACGTAAACAATCTATCCAGGAATATGTCAATATCTGTCAACAGGGGAAGGGCAATAGATACTATACCTACTTCCCCAAGCTGTCCTCTGGATTTCAGTTCTTCAGTAACTACTTTTATAGAAGCACAGTGAAAAATTGATCCCATTTTCTCAGGACCAAGCAGAGCTGAGAGACTTTATTTCACCTTTCTGCCTATGTCTTGCTGCAACACCTCAGTGAAATTAATAGGGAAGATATCGATGTTTTGGTATAACAAGATCAGGTTACGACCTGACAAAGCTGAATTTTGTTTTGTTATACTTTACTGAAAACTCTGAATCAGCACATTTAGTTTTCCCCACTCAAAAATAACAAATCTGAATAATACAATTTTGAGCATTACAGTACATATTTAGGTGAGATAAAAGGAATTTTACCTCATCCACAAACAAGCTCAATCTTTTTAGCAATTCCTTGTCCCTGAAATAAGGAGCACCGAAACTTTCCAAATGAGTTAGAAAAGTAAATGAAGCCTTTCACGTATTTGATCTTGCAGTGCTAATAAATGTCTAGAACACCAATTAGTTGGTATAATTAGAGAACGGAACCATAACAATTTTGAAAAGAGGTTATCACTTCCTGATTGTATTAAGTAACCTGCTTTCTTTTTTTAAGGACAGCAAAATATAGGATGAAGCCTATCTGCATGCAATATTCAGCCTATTCCTGGTTCACCCTGAACAATATAGATTGTTTTTCCATCCTGTCAGAATTACTGTCACGGAATTTTTCTGCATCATGCACAAACAGTTTTCCAAACAATGAAGCAGCCTTACTACAAAGTGTAGCATTGTACATCCTGTATTTTGATTTCCACTAGCAGATCTTCCCATTTTTCTCATATACTCACATCTACGAGCCAAATATCATCTTTACGGTTTTCTTTAAACCTAAAAAGGGAAAAAACGAAATCAACAAATCTGAAAATAAAACAGTGAAGTGCATGTGTGAAACAGGCAAAATCCACAATTTAGATTCTTTCTTTGGGTGTGAAGAAACAGAGGAGATAATATTTTCTAGTATTAACAATGACCCTGCACATGTTACTACACACAGAGATGTAGGTTCCTATAATTACTTCCCAAGACAAACAAATAAACAAACAAACAATAACAACAACAACAACAACAACAAAGAAAAACAATAAATAAGAATACATACAAAAGATATTTTATTATCATATGTATTTTAAGGGGAAGAAGTATTTTGCAGTTGTCTTAGTGATATTAAATATTGTACACTGCTGTATTTTTACAGACCAATTAATACAGACTCTTAAAGCATTGGTTTACATTGCTAATCTTAGCTTTACTGAATGTCAAGTAAATAAATTATCTCTAATATTAACACACAAAGCAATTTTAGTTCAACCTCCTTTAACATTCTACTATAGGTGTGTCAATTTATGGTTTTATTGAAGTTGCACACAAGAAACCAACTTACTGGAATAAAAATGGTCAAGTGACTGATAAAGAACAGAGATTCACGAGTACTACTGAATATTCTTAATCCCAGACAAATGACATTTAAGTGAATTGACTAGCTTTATTAACTGTAAATCTGCCACTAAATGTTAAAACCTCTAAAATAAAAACAGAACATGATAAATCAAAGTTCTTTGCTACCTTCCAAAATGTCGCTTACACATTTCACTGAACTGTTGTCACTACATGATAATATGAATTATTGCATTACTTAACGATTTCTATGTAGATAAATAATTAAGCCAGAAATTCAATATAAGGTTTATTTCTGTAAGACAGGCTTCATAAAAGTGACTAGGACTGGGATTAATGTCACATGCTATAACATACATGATACAACATTCTTACTGCAACACTCCTATTGTGAAAAGAAACGAATATTTTTATATAATTAAGTAGTGTGTGATCTACACTCTAAAATCCAATTAACAGAAGTTATAGCCCAACTCACCAATTCCCAGTACACAGCATGCCTATAAATGGCTCATAGGCAGTAAGCAGAATCAGAGGATATTTATTATATTTCATTTAAAGCTGAACCTGTAATAGTCCATAATGGTCTTGAAGAAATACTAATGCTGATGTTGGCTTGCTGTTTGAAAGAAATAATTCAGAAATCATGAATACAACCTAATTACAGCGCTGAGTGTTTGAAACTTAGAAATGCAGCATTTCACTGGTAAATTCCAGTCTTTTATTGATGGTATAACAAGGTTGCAACACCTGTACAGCAGGAAAGGTATTTGCAGCAACTAACATAAAACTGCTCTAGGAAAGCAGCATTTTTAAGTCACAAAATTGCTTAGCTGAGCAACTCACTAAAAATTTACTTCACCACCCTAAATGCTATAGAGCTAATGAAAGAACCAGTTAGAGTCTGGCATCTCTTGAGAACTCTAACAGAGCTACAGCTAACTTCCAATTACAATGTTAAATAATTGGTTATGATGCAAGAGGCAGAAAGCAGCTACTGAATCATAAGATCCTGGCTGTGCTTCAATTTAGAATATCACTTTTGCTTTGTAAAAGAAGAATTTACAATTAATTGTTCTCCTCCCTCTGCCACAGTACAACTGTTATAGGAGATTGCAAAGAACATTACAGCACTGAGAAAGGTAGACTGAAATCTTACAAAACCAGTAGACAGCAATAAAAAAAGGAAAAGAAAGGAAACGTCTGGAAGCTGAATATTCCAATGAAATCTAATAACTTTGGCCTCAGGTAATATAAAAAATACCACAGTTTTTACAATAGTAAATTTCATTCACAAGCACCTATTTAATCAACTGCCACAGAAACTAAAATTTCAAGTGTGACAAAAACCCAACTATCAAAACTCACTCTAGTTTTGGTAATGTTAATGATTAAATTACTAGACAATATTAAGAAAGTTCAATATACTGATGAACAAAACCAGAAGTTTCTCTACAAAAGAGTATTCAAGCATTCTATGAAGGTGTTATTCCTAGGACCTATAAATATATTTTCAGTTGTAACATTTCAGTGCCTCTTTTTAAATGAATTGTGCAATCAATCCCCTGTCAGCTGACAGAGACACAATCACATTGATGGAAAGGTGTTGCACATCCTTGAATCAAAATTATTTGTCTCACATACATCTTCCAAACTACATGATCAAATGTTCTCTCAACCTCCACTTAAACCAAACACCTCACTTAATCATGAACAGTTAAAAGAAACCAGCATGAAGCAAAACTGAAAACCAAGCCCACAATTACAAGGGCCTTCAACCAACACGGCTGCTGTGTTTATTCCTTGCTGTCTTGCTTCTCACTCCCCTTGCACTGTTTCTTATGCTTCTGATCCTGCGTTGAGCCACCAGTGCATCCTCACAGAGAGAAAAATATTTCCCTTTTTAATTAGGTTACTTAACTGCTTCATTATCACACTAGAAGAAGTGCACAAACATTGCAAGATGAATACTGATCCGAGGCAGCAGATCAGCAGCACAAGCCAATAGGTACCACAGCTTTTATTCTGCATCCCTTCCATAGCCCAGCTGGGTGATACTGAGTACCTTGTACCTCTGTTAGTTCTGCTCTGCGACTTCTTTTCCCATATCCTGCAAACTTGGGAAAGGGATGCACATCTTGTACTACTTGCCATTGTTTACAACTACCAGAATTCAAATAAAATCCAAAACTTTCAGCAACAGCAAAAAGTCCATTAAGTTTAGGTACCTATCAAATGGAAAATTTGAAATTTCACCAGTCACTGCTTCCAGGTTTGGTTTTTTTTCAATTGTTATCCTGATCTTTTTCACCATTTGCCAATTAGTTAAAAAAGAAAAAAAGACACAAAAAAAACCCCCATCCTGAACAACTCATCAATTCTTACTCCCAACTGTAAAGACAGGTATCTCTGTAGTTTTGTAGTTGAAAAATCCAAGTGTTGTAAAACAGAATTTTCTTTTATCGGTTATTTAAAAAGTTATGTTACTACAGATTTATGTTTTCTCACTCCAAAACAGCAAATGCATTTAAATTCACACCTGTACAAACATGATATGGGAATGTGATGCAGGAGTACAGACATATTCACTTAGCCTATCTTCAGTCCTTGAAAATATGAGTCATGTAATTTATGTCAGGTAATTTTTCGGGGCAACAGCACCTACGTAACCACCAAACTGCTAAAGAAAGGCAGTACACGACCAGTGACACTACACAACCAGCTTAATGGCAGGATTGCCCATTTCAACTCATACACAGTCTCAGAGCTAATTCTGCTGTAAAGGCACGTTTTTTCACACTGGAATGTAACTGGCACTTCAAGCAGTCACGAACCAGTCCTCCAAGCCTCCTTCTCTTTTCCATTTCTGGCCATGCATGAATGCATTTATATATTCGTTCTCCCAGCCCCTTGCGGCAGCCATGCAGCAAACTCTAATGAAGAACTTGCTTAAACACAGTCAGCTTTTACTTGGGGCACGCACAAATACACTGCTATATTTACACTACCAAAAAGCAGGAAAGAACAAGGAACTCCAAGAACGTTTCTGGCAATACTACCTCCAATAACAGCTTTAAAAACACCTGAAAAATTAAATTGTTCCTCAGGTTCATTAACTGAACCTATTTAATAGGTGAGTTTGAGGGAAGGCCTCATCATGGTCTACAACGTCTTCATGAGGGGAAGCAGAGGGGCAGACACTGATTTCCTGTCTGAGGTGACTCGAGGGAATGGTCTGAAGTAGCGTTAAGGGAGGTTTACGTTGGATATTAGAAAGAGGTTCTTCACCCAGAGGGTGGCTGGGCACTGGAACAGGCTCCCCAGAGAAGTGGTCACAGAACCAAGCCTGACAGAGTTCAAGAAGCATCTGGACGATACTCTCAGTCACATGGTGTGATTTTTGGGGCTATCCTGCATAGGGTCAGGAGCTGGACTTCAGAGCCTTGTGGGTTCCGTCTAACACAGAACATTCAATGATACTTTAGGCCACAGTCTTTCTGCCATTACTACTAAGAAAAAGGCAAACTTTTCCAGTGCAGTTTTCTTGACAAGCACACTATGCACAAAGTCTGGGGTCATGTTCCCCACAAGAACACAAGCACTATTTAGGCCATAAAGCAGGACACCCCAGTACTTACGACTCATCCAGATCCTTCACAAAACCCGCGCCTGACGCCACCACATGTGCCACCACTGCGAGGCAAGGAGAAGCGTTCCGTGAGTGATGCCCGACTCACCCCGGGGCTCTCACCCACGCCAGCTGACAGGTTCACCGCGCTGACAGCCGCCCCTCCTCCCTCGACCCTGGCCCCTCTCGCCTCCAGCGCTTCCCCACAGCCCAGCCCGCCCCGCACCTGCCGCCCCGCTCCCAGCCTCACCGCTTTTACCTCTCTCTGTCCCCCCCCGCCCCAGCCCGGAGGAGCTGCTGCCGCCCGCCCATCACCTGCCGCCCAGAGGAGGCCCCGCGCCCGCGCGCCCTCCGCCGCTGCCATGTTCCCGGGAGCCGCGGCACGGCCGGAAAGGGAAGCGCCGACCTTTCCCCGCGGCGCACGCGCGGAGGCCAGGGACGAGGGGCTTGAGGTGGTGGCGGCTTTGGGGGTGCTTCCCACAGGCGGGGGGCGGTGGGTCTGGCTGAGGGCACGGTGACCACCACGGTCCGGCCCGGCCCGGCCCGGGGGTCTCCGCGCCGCCGAAGGGCGCCCTTGGAGGCACCGAGCGGGGAGGCGAGTGTGACACCGTGACACGGGGCCGGGACGCGGCGCGGGTGGACGTTGTCATCTCCCCGGTGGGGAGACTCGTTCAGTTGGATCAAAGCTCTGGTTCCTTGCAAAAAATAAAACCACGTCCTCCTTTGAGCAGGAACACGTGTGCCGTCTGTCATGTTGCCCGCTGTCTGCCGCGGGTAGAGCTCATCCCGCACCACTTGGCTGCGGTGTCAGCAGCCCTCCTTCAGCTTGTGTGCGAAACACTTGTTCCCTGCTACTCTGTGTCTGTAACTTTCTCTATAGCTTCTCTCGTACAAATCTGTTACAGTCTTTCCTATTTTCAAGTACCTCGTTTCTCTGTCAGTGCAGACCTGCAGGTCCTGAAAGGTCAAAGAATCCTGCTGTGAAAGGTTTTTTAAAAAGCTGAGTGAAAGCAGGGCTGGGATTGCTCAGCCTGGACAAGAGAAGGCTTGGGGGTCCTAATCAATGTGTATAAGCATCTGAAGGGGGATGCAAACAGAACAAAGCCAGGCCTTTCCGGTGGTGCCCACTGACAGGACAAAAGACAATGGGCATAAACTGAAACACAAAAGGTTCTCTCTGAACATCAGGAAGCACTTTTTCACTGTGAGGGTGACTGAGCACTGCCTACCAGTCCTCCACCTCATAAGCCACCTGGACATGGTCCTAAGCAACCAGCTCTGGATGGTCCTGTTTGAGCAGGGGTTTTGGACCAAATGACCTCCAGATGTCCCTCCTAACCTCAACCATTCTGTGATTCTATGTTCTGTTCCTTCTCAGTTTTGACTCCTGCAGTCTAAGTTCTTACATACACCTTTCTCCCTATGGCAGAATTACTTTCTTCAGCTGTACATGCAAATGTTTGAGATCATTGTTGGAAACAGACTTTGTCTCATTCCCGGGCTTCTCTGTGTGTGCATGTGTGTGTGTGCATACCTGCTGGTATTTACATGTGTGTGGATACATGTTGTCCTCCTGGCTGTTCATTACCTTTCTCACTAGGCCATACCTAGTCTGGCAAAGACCTCATCTTCAATTAATGCTTTGTGGGTAAAGTATGTTGGATTCATCAAATGATTCCCAGAGTTGTCCACTCATTGGAAAAGCTAACTTCCATAAGTCCACTGGCTGAGAAACAGGTCAAAGCCTGAGAGTATATGCCATAGCTCACATTAGAACTCTAAAGTATCTGACTCTGACCTGTGGTAGACGTATTTTTTCTTACCCATATTTCACTGAGGGATTATACAGCATTAGGTCTTAAAAAGACTCTTTCACTTTCTCCCCCCCCCCCCCCCCAGTCACCCCCCCACCCCAACTAATAAGTTCCTAACATCTGTAGTGGATAAACTGTGACAATTATTCATTGAATGAAGAGAATTTCTTTTCCATGCATTTCACTTTCTGTATACCACAGTTAGCTAAATACTGTCTGTATGCCTGATCAAATGAAAGCTGGCATCTTTTTGATCTTAATCTAGCTGCTGTCTAGACTGAGACAATGAAAACAATTTACTCCATCAGTCCTTTAGTAGAAAATCCATACCGGAGAAAATGGGGATAGCCAAGTAACTGTTAAATTAGTATAATCCTGTTTTCTTACTCAGACAGTTCATAGTTGGCTTTAAATAACTTTTGAAGTGAAATAAACATTTTATATAGTTTTGTATGGATTTGAATAAATTCCTCTAGATCCTATTTGTTAGCTTTGAAGTTTATTCTCTTTGCAAATAATGGAATATGATTGTTAAGCTTTTGCATTTGGCAAGCCAGGATTGTCTTCTGCAATAGAGTACCAGCCAGTATTCTTGAAATATTTTATCTTGAAATTGAAGGAATCACTTTATATTTACTTCTTTGTAATTAAATTTATGTACACCCACATACACAACACTGTGCTATATTTATTTATACAATTTTTTATGAAGCTTTACTGCATAAAATGTATATAAAAGATAGTTCTTGCTCTGCAGCCAAGTAAAAGTATTGTGGGAACAGCGTATAACATGCAAAACAAATAAACTGGATAATAATGGATGAGGTCTAGAGAAATGTCAAGGGGTTTTTGTGTTTTTCTTATGTCTGCTATGAATATTTAATTTGAAAAAGATACAGGATTAATGTATTACTGTTAATAGATTATTGCATTCCTGAATTCACTGGAGAACTTAGTGTAGAAAAGGGATGATTTGGTATATGCACTGAACAGAAGATATGGGGGAAAAAAAAAAAAAAAAGACCATGAAGGATAAGAAGCAAAAAGCACAGAGAATACTGCTGAAATCCTGGGAGGTACTGCAGGAAAAAGTGGGAATTATAGGGAGATCAGTAATCAATGAAACATTGGAAACTGAACATCAAGGGTTCAAAGATTCCTTCCAATCCATATAGTGTAGGAAAATTTAATGGTCCTGCTGTCCCAAAGAGTAGGGGTTTTTTTCAACCTGTTAGACAGGGAAATTCAACAAAGATAAGTTCCAGGCTTTGCCCCATGGCCTGCTGAAGGTGGTTTTACAGTGCAATTTTGCTGTTGCAAGATTTTCGATCTGTTTGAGCAGTCTGTCCACTCTTCTTGACCTGTATGAAGGGCAGGGAAAAGGATGGTTTACCTGTAGCTCCATCTAAATTATACAGTGCAGACTTAGTTTTACTGGAATGTGTGTACTTTTGCTTTAAGAGAAATACTCACTTTCAAATAAATTCCTGTCTAAGATTCATTACCTTGTAAACAGAATATCAAGGTTGATTTCAATACACATTTACATAAATAAAATACTTAGACTATTAAAATTCTTTTACATATCTTTATTATTATACAGTGGATAATGTATCCATGACACCATACTAAAGGAGACTTCCCAGCACTGCCCAGCCAGGCATGAAACGTTGTATGGAAGGATCAGATTAAAAATATAGAAAGGGGATGGAAGAGTAGAAAGAAAGAAGAAAGATGTGGGAAAAAGAGGAAAGAAAGCAAAACAAGAACTTGAATAAGAGAAGGAGGCACAGAGGAAGATGTAAGAATGTCCTGATACAGACAAAGTTTTGGGGGTAGGTTTGGTCGTCAATTAATAATGTGGCCCACACCGAGAGCTTATGATTGGGAGGAAAGAAAAGTTAAGAAAAGTCAAGAACCTGAGATGTGAAAAAGGCAACAGGTTCTATCTAATGAAGAAGTCAAACCAAGAAATTCACATGCCTTCTAATTTTGCCACCAGTAGTATCCCTCAATGATGCTACTATTTTGGGGTATATATTGCTATTTGTTTTATATAAATTTTACTGTATATTTTTATTTCATTGTATCTTATGTACTAAATATATTTGCTATTATATGAAATTTGTAAACATCAAAATGGCGTTTCTGAATATTTACACAAAGATTTTATACAAAAAGTTTTTCAGCTATTCATGTTTTCTTTTCAGTTGAGTGAAATCTGCGAAAGTGTGGGAAAATATATATTTTAATTTTAGTAGAAGTAGTCCAAGAATTAGCTTAGTCATTTCAAAATTAAAAGAGATTTTTGAAAGTATAGAAAAATATATTTCCTATTACTTCATAAAGCGCAGATGTTCTGTATTTCAAGAATATTCACCTCCTTGGTATTTACCTTTTAGCAAAAAGTTAAAATTACAGTACTCACAATTAAGAATTGGTGTCAAGACATGTTAAGCAGAACAAAAATCTGAATAAATATTACTCAAATAGCTTTTCATATGAACCACATGGACTGCCATAATGAAGGAGGAGGGAGGATATGTACTTTAATTCAAAAGAGATAAGTGCACATTTGTGAACAAACACCCTGTTTTTATATTTTTAGAAAACACATCTGTGCACTTGTATAACTACATGCCAACAACAGAAGTGTTTGTCTTCATGTGTAGTACCAGTACTAGCACAAACAAGGTCATCAGTAATTGCATCATTCACTATTGAATGTTTTAATGCACAATATGCTGCTATAAATAGTTGATCTCAGTGCTCTTTATTTCTCTTTTACTACAAGAATAAGCTGTACTGGTATGTACTATCTTCCTATAGTGACTGCCCATATGATAGTGGGTCTCTACCAGCTTATTTCTGTCAGTATCTAAGTCTGTGCCATAAAATTAACTAACCAGTAACACATTTTTCATGAATCATAATTAAATTCAAATTACTAATAAACTTGTACTGAAATAAATTCATGTTTAATTAGAAGAACACATGATCTGGTACACTTTGGGGACTTTTTATGTGCCTTGCATGAGAATGCTTGCAGGTTTTGCAAGGTGCAACATGAAGTAGAATCTGAATTAAAAACATAATTTTGATCGCACTAATACTGTTGACACTGGCAATAGGACTTGTCTGGTCCTGCATTAACAATTCGCCTTTCCATATAACTTTAGTTTTTAAAATTGAACTGATCCTTAGAGTTTGGGGCTTTTTTTGTTTAGTTGGTTCTTTTTGGCGGTTTTGTTGATTTTGTTTGTTTGTTTTGGGTGGAGGGTTGTGTGTGTGTGTGTGTTGAAAATTGAATTTTTTTTTCTTTAGCATTATATTTTTATTTTTGTATATTTATATGCATTCCTTTTATTACAGAGACACCTGGTGGCCTTTGGGTGTATTTGCAGAAACAACATTTTTCTTTTTTTTTTTTGCTGGAATTGCTGGATTTACTTTATCATTTATATATCACTTATTTAGAACCTCCTCTGTTATGGTATTATATAATTTGAAAATCATGTTGAGAACACTTACACATTATCCAACATGTACTAGATATTGATTCTCATGGCTGATCATGATTATTTTT